GCGCCACCACCGCCCAGCTTCTGTTTTTGTTAATGTAACATAATTTCCTTACTGAATCATTGGGAATTTCTCATCATGCACACCAATTCCACTCAACTTCCAGTCCAGCCATATCCTCATTTCATCCCTGCAGCACCCCCAAGCAAATTATTTAAAAAAACAAATCAAACCAAGCAAACAAACAAAACAAACCACAAAAAAACTTATTTGCTTCTCTATCTTCCCCACCTTCCCAACACCTCTTCATTTGGCCTGAGGGCATTGAGATCCTTGGTGTTCACACAGTATATCCTTTTGTACAATCAGCTTTACTTGCAAATGATCATTGCAATGAGTTTTATTCAAGGTCTCTTGTTATACCAGTATAACTTTATCCCTGGATCCTCACAGAAACTCCTCTTGGATATCCAGCAGATGCCCCAAGTCATGGAGATTCTGACGGTATTGTTCCATATAACCAATCCTTTCAGGAGCTCCTGTAGGTCCTAAATGACTCCATGTTAGAGTGCTAAGAGTGGGCCAACCCCAGGCCTGGCTGTGGGTCTGCATGGTTGTTGAGCTGGTCAGTCCAGGCACCTAGGGTTTCTTCCCTTAGGCAAAGAGTGGATAGAGCCAACTCTCTTATGCCCAAGTCATCAGGGTAAATCCTCCCTTGCCCATGGTGTGGGGTATGGCCATCTCCCCAGAGTACAGGGGTGGGGCCAGCTCTTTCAGTACCCAATGAGGGGCAGGAGCTGCTATCCTGAGGCTAGCCAAGGGCAGGGATGGCTCAGTATGGCCTTCTGATTTCATGACAAATGGTTCCTACGGTCCCCTGTGGTGACACATGACACAGGAATCCACACGGAGCCCTGTTGCAGGAGAACCAGAGACCCAGACATTGCCCTTAGCAGGAGCTTGGACCCAAATGGCATTCTGGCTCTGAATGGAAGCATACATCACTTGGATCACGATGGCTCTGGTGGTGGCCTGGCTCCCGCATACCAGTAAGGCCACAGGTTTTGGCCCTGACCCCAGGTTTCCATGTAACCTTTGGTAGTAGGACAGGCCTCAGACTTTAACACAGACCCTAGCTTGGAGAGGAACACAGACCCAGATATGGTTCTTACCAGCAGCTGGGTCTGGATGTCACTACTGTTTTGCGTGGCAGTGCAGGTCACTCAGGTTGATAGCCCCAACAGTAATAGGGCCCTAGGACTCTAACACGACAACAAAACTTGGGCATTCACATGATCTTTGATGGTAACAGAACACTGAACATCAACAGACAGTTGATGCAGTAGGGCCATGGACCCAGACATGGCTCTCAGATGCAGCTCTGGCCTAGACATCACCATGGCATAGGGTAGCAACACAGGCTGCTCAGGTCTGCATGGCCCTGGCTTCAACATGGACTCAGGTGGGTGACCAGAATCTGGGAATCAACATGGCTCTTGGTGGCAACAAGGGCCATGGACTTCATCACAGATCCAGGCTGCAGTATGTTCATGATGCCAGACATAGTCCTTGGCAGCAATCTGGGTCCATATGTCACCATGGCCCCTGGTGGTGGCTCAGGCCACACAGGCAGGAATGGCTTTGGTAGCAGGGCAACCCTCAGACATCAACATGGCCAAAGGTAGTGGCCCAGACCCCAGAAATCAACATGCCCCCCACCTGGCATCAGGAGCCATGGACATCAACACAGACCCTGGCTGTTATGGGGCCACAGACAGAGACATGGTCCTTGGCAGCAGCCTGGGCCCAGATGACACCATGGCCTTGGGTGGTAGCACAGGTCACTCAGATCTGTATGGCCCTCACTGGGGCAAACCCCTCAGCCTCTAACAAGGTCACAGTTATCAGGTGGCAACAAGAGCCACAGACTTGAACAGACTCCAGCTGTGGTAGGACCACGAACTCTGACATGGCTATTGGCAGCAACCCCCTTCTGGATGTCACCATGGCCCCAGGTGGCAGCACATGGTAGAACAGCCCCTGGACATTGTCTTAGGGTTTTTATTGCTGTGAAGGGGCATCATAACCACAGCAACTTTTATATAAAAAACATTTAATTGGGGTGGCTCACTTACAGTTTCAGAATAAAGTTCACTATTGTCGTGATAACATGGCAGTGTGCAGGCAGACATGGTACTGAAACTGAGAGTCCTACATCTTGTAGGCAATAGGAAGTTGACTATGCTCAGTTTCCTATGCTCAGCAGTATCCTGAGCATAGGAAACCTTAAAGCCTGCCCCTAAAAAGACAAACTTACTCCAACAAGGCCATACACACTTCAACAAAGCCATATCTCCTAATAGTGCCACTCCCTATGAGATTATGGGGGTCAAATACATTTAAAGAATCACATCTACTCCCTGACCCCCATAAACACTATTATGGCCCCATAACAATATCATAATGGAAAATGCAATTAGCCCAACTTCCAAAGTTCCCACAGTATATCACAGTCTCATCAATGTTTGGAAGTCCAAAGTCTCTTGAGATTCATGAAATCTCTCAACTGTAAAATCAAAATGCAGATCACATCATTCCAGCATATAATGGTACAGGATATACATTACCATTCCAACATGTAGGGAAAGGACCATAGTGAGGAAATACAGGACCAAAGCAAGACCAAAAACCAGGTGGCCAGACTCCAAACTCTGCATTGAAACACCACCTCCAACTCTGTTCAGCTTTATTGACAGCAACACACTTTACTCTTGGCCTGGTTCCAACTCCTAGTTAGCAGCTCTCCTTGGTGAGTATATCCCATGACTGGCATCTCTAACATCTTGGGTTCTCCAAGGATTTCCAGGCTATAGCTTCAGTTACACATAATGTTCTTCCTACTAGGCCTCCATTCTGTGACACTTCTGACACATGCCTGGCCTCAGTGGCATTCTTGAGGCATTGAAACTATTTCCATAACCTACTTCTTCTATCCTTAACTCTAAAGCCTGAACAACATGGACAAAGCTGCCAAGTTCTGCTGCTTGCTGGGGCTGGAACATAGCCCCCATGTTCAACTACATCTTCACCAGTTTTCTGTTTTCCACTTTCACTGCCTAAGCTTGACTGTATTTGAACTTTATACCAGGTTGGTGTCAAACTAAGAGATCTATCAGCCTCTGCCTCCTGAGTGCTGGGATTAAAGGCATCCACCACCAATTTGGCTCTAAGCTTTTCTTTAGTTCCTTTCTACATGTTGGAAACATAGCTGGATAGGATCTTTCCCTGAAATAACCACTCACTTTATTCCATTTCTTGATCTTCAACACAGGACTTAGTACCATTCCACTTTTCGGTGTTCCTTTTCTCCGTAAATTTTACATTTTGTAATTCACCCTGTTCAACTTCTTCCTTTTCATAAATCTTCATAAGAGTTACCACTAATAACAACATGACAGAATCTATACTATGCCGTTTGGAGATTTCTTCTGCCAATGAAACTAATCCATAATTCTTCAATTTATATTCAGGCACACTCTTCAGGTAAGGGCAAAAGGCAGTAATTTTATTTATTTTGTTTTAGCTTCTGGAGGGCTCTGGGTCAATACCACAGTCACCTTGAGTTTATTTCTAATTGGATTTTTATACACCAGCAAGGGGACAGGCAAAAGTTCTGCCCCTTTCAAGATCAAAGCACAAAGTACAAACAAGTGTAGAACTTTCCATAATTGTTTTTCTTTCTTTAATTTATTAAGGAAATTTTTATTCATTTTACATACCAACCACAAATGCCCATCTCTTCCCTTCACATACGCCTCCAGCCTTTTCCCACCAACCCATTCCCCCATTCCCTCCTCCACCAAGGTAGGGCCTCCCATAGGGAATCATCAGAGCCTGGTCCATTCAGGACAGGCAGGTCCAAGGCCCTCCCCCTGCATCAAAGCTGTGCAAGGGGGCCACCATAGGCACTGGACTCCAAAAAGCCAGCTCATGCACCAGGGATAGATCCTGATCCCACTGCCGGGGGACCCTTTAGTGGATAAAGCTACACAACTGTCTTGTTTATTCAGAGGGCTTACTCCAGTCCCATGGAGGCTCCACAGTTTTGGTATAAAGTTCATGAGTTCCAACTAGTTTGATTTGGTTGTCTCTGTATGTTTCTCCATCATGACCTTGATGCCCCTTGCTCAAAGAACCCCTCTTCTCTCTCTTCAACTGGACTCCTGAAGCTTGGACTGATGCTTCACTGTGGATCTTAGAATCTGTTTTCAGCAGTTACTGGATGAAGACGCTATGATGACAAGGTATTCACTGATCTGATTACTGGAGTAAGCCAGCTCAGGTACCCTCTCCACTATTGATAGTAGTCTAAGATGGGGTCCTCTTTGTGAACTGCTGGGAACTTCCCTAGCACACAGTTTCTCCCTATCTCCATGTCTCCCTCTATCAAGGTTTCTCTTTCATTGTTCTCCTATTCTGTACCTATTCCAACTCAACCACCCCATTCCCTTATGTTCTCATCCCCCATACCTTACCCTCTATTGCTCCCCCTCATCCCCAGTTTACTCTTGGAGATCTCATCTATTTCACCTTCTCAGGGTGATCCATTTCTCCTGCTTAGGGTCCTCGTTAGCTGGCTACTCTGAAGCTGTGGGCTGTAGTCAAATTATCCTTTGCTTTACATCTAGTATCCAGTTAAGAGTGAGAACATACCATGTTTTTCCTTCTAAGTCTGGGTTACCTCATTCGGAATATTTTCTAATTCCATCCATTTGCCTGCAAATTTCAAGATGTCATGTTTTTTTACTGCTGAGTAGTACTTCATTGTATATATGTGCCACATTTTCTTAATCCATTCTTCAGTTGAGGAGCATGCAGGTTGTTTCCAGGTTCTAGCTATAACAAATAATGCTGCTATGAACAAAGTTGAGCATGTATCTTTGGGTATGATTAAGCATTCCTTGGGTATATGCCCCAAGAGTGGTATGGCTGGGTCTTGAGGTAGATAGATTCCCCATTTTCTGAGAAACCACCATACTGATTTCTACAGTGGTTGTACAAGTTTGCACTCCCAACAGTTGTACATTCATTTTCATTGAATTCTAGGAAGTCTTTAATTTCTTTCTTTATTTCTTCCTTGACCCAATAGTGATTCAATTGAGGATTATTCAGTTTCCATGAGACTGTAGCCTTTCTGTAGTTTGTGATGTTGCTGAAATCTACCACTCCACTTTTTCGTGTTCCTTCTCTCCTTAAATTTTACATTTTGTAATTTATACTGTTCAGCTTGCTCCTTTTCATTATAAATCTTCCTTAGAGTTACCATTCATAACCACATGACAGAATCTATACTATGCTGTTTTGAGGTTTCTTCTGCCGAAGGAACTAATCCAAATTTCTTTACACTCAGGCAGGCTCTAGATAAAGGCAAAAGCCAGCCATTTTCTTAACCAAAATAATAAAAGAATGGTCGATCTAAGCAACATACTAAAATCTTCTCTTCTTCTTCTTGAGTGAGCCACTCACATTTTATCAAAATCACATTCAGTACCACTGTCTTCTATGTACCTACTAGTTTGGCTCATTAAGTAGTAGTGCTTAAAACATTCCACTGCTTTCCAAACACCAAATTCCTCCAAACAAAATCATGGATCATGGTCAGGCCAATATGGATGTCTTCCCACCAGCTGAGGTCTTAACTCAGTCTGGCCTGTGGGTGGCTTGTATCCATCGGAGCCAAGTGGCATCAGATGGGCCATGGATGTCTTCTTGCCAGGCCAGATCTTGAGAACCCAGGCTGGCCTATGAGTGGCTTGGGACCCCCTGAAATGAGTAGCAAAAGTTGGGCTGTGTTTGTCTTCCCCTACTATGAATTTTGTATGCATTTGGAGACCACTGTATTCTGAAAACACTCTACCACATTCATTATATTCATAGGGTTTCTACTGATTATGAATTATTTTATGTGCTTGGAGACTATTGTAATCTGAAAAGTCTTTCCCACATTAATCACATTCTTAGGTTTTCACTCAAATATGAGTTCTTTTATGAATTTTGAGATGACTCCATTGTGAAAAGGCTTTCCCACATTGCTTACATTCATAGGGTTTCTCTCCGGTATGAGTTCTTTTATGCGATTGGAGACCACTGTGTTTTGCAAAGGCTTTCCCACATTCATTACATTGATAGGGTTTCTCTCCAGTATGAGTTCTTTTATGTGTTTGGAGACTATTGTGGTGTGAAAAGGCTTTCCCACATTGATCACATTCATACGGTTTCACTCCAGTATGAGTTCTGTCATGTATTTTAAGAGCACTGCAATTTGCAAAAGTTTTATAACATTGCTTGCATTCATAGGGTTTTTCTCCAGTATGGGTTCTTTTATGAATTTGGAGATGACTCCGTTGTGAAAAGGCTTTCCCACATTGCTTACATTCATAGGGTTTCTCTCCAGTATGAGTTCTTTCATGTAATTTAACATAACTGTAATCTGCAAAAGCTTTTCCACAATGATTACATTGATAGGGTTTCTCTCCAGTATGAGTTCTTTTATGTGTTTGGAGACTACCATGTTTTGAAAAGGCTTTACCACATTGATTACATTCATAGGGTTTCACTCCAGTATGAATTATTGCATGTCTTCTAAGATGAGTGTAATCTGTAAAAGCTTTTTCACATTGATTACATTGATAGGGTTTCTCTCCAGTATGGATTCTTTTATGAATGTTGAGATGACTCTGTTGTGAAAAGGCTTTTCCACAATGATTACATGAATAGGGTTTCTCTCCAGTGTGGCACCTTTTATGAATGTTGAGATGACTTCGATTTGCAAAGGCTTTTCCACATTGATTACATTCATAGGGTTTCTCTCCAGTATGTCTTCTTTCATGGTTATGGAGATAACATCGATGGGAAAAGGCTTTACCACATTGCTTACATTCATAGGGTCTCTCTTCAGTACGACTTCTTTTATGCCTGGGAAGATAATTCGCACACATAAATGTTTTACCATATTGATTAAGTTAATGAATGCTTTTATCAATATGACTTAATTTTACAGTTTGGTCTAATGGTAAAGAGGAGTCAGATCTTAATGTTTTACCATGTTGTTTACATTCATAGGGCTCTTTGTAATAATGGGTTCTTTTGTGTGTTTGAAGATACCTGTGATGGTCAGAGCATTAGTACACGGCTCATATTTTTGGCATTTTCCTATGAGCTTTTTCATGTTAATTGGAGAGAATTGGAAGAGCCCAGAGCTACACACTGATTATATTCATACCATTCTCCTATACTATGAGTCACACTACATTTGCAAAGTGAATCAGAACAAACAGAAGAATTTCCACTTTTTTTTTATTCACAGGGTTTTATGTGGTATGAGTTTGTTGATATATTTCAGATGAAGTTTACCACATTCAGAAAGCCTACTCAAAGTGGGGACTTACTACATATCTTCTAATTGTTCTAGGAGAAAGGTACATTGTATTCTTTCCATATCCTTTATGCAACTTGGTTAAAGAGTGGCATATATTATACCAATAAAGAAAAAATACTAAAGGTTTCCATAATGCACCCACAGTTTAATTTTTTGTTCATCATAGAGATATGGTATTAAAATTTCTCGGCAACCTTAACTCTCATAAACTGCCACTCTCACTATATTTTGCTAACTTACCACCACAAATACCTGAGTAACACTACCTTTACTATACACTATATGCTTATTAGAAGGCTTCAGACATACACTTATTGCCTAATCGACAGGTATGCCTTTTGCTATATCCCACTGGTATGGAACTAAATGGATTGACAGATCTACAGCCTAGCACTCATGGAGCTATGATTAAAATGACGATATCTGTTAAAGCATTGTTTCCTTATCTTCTTTCTTAGAAAAATGCTTTTCGAACAGAGAGATCAGCTACCTGACATTGAGATACATCATGTTGTAAGAATTTAATAGTCATCAACACACTTAAAGCTGTGCTTATTTTCACTGTTGCTTTTCCTTAAAACTTCCAAGGCACATTAAAGTTCTTGTGAGTATTAGCTTGCACATGAAAATTACCTTCCACGTCTTCGAAATCTTTGACAATGTTCTTCGATATTATGGTCTTCCCATTTGTAGCCTATAATATAGTATCAGAAAATGCACAATGTATTACTGGAAATTATGCAAAATTTAAGTTACTATATTCATTGACCCTAAAAACCATGCCTTATTTATTCACCACATTCTGCAGCATTTTCAATCAAAATTAAAGAGGAGCATCAATAACGAAAAAACAGTTGTCTCCTTATTTTAAATGTTGAAGGGAAATTCAGTCTTACCTATAGCAGTAAGGTTACTGTAGGTTTCCAGCATCACATCTTTGTAGAGTCTCTTCTGGGAAGCATCCAGCAAAGCCCACTCTTCGCAAGTGAAGTTGATATGCACGTCATCATAGGTCAATGAATTCTGAAATATCCCATATATGTGTGCAACAGAAAGCATGATATTGATCACAATGTGAATATATACATCTTTGACAATATAATATATTCATATAATTCTGGTGTTTCACAGACTCATTCCTTGATGGAGAAATTCTAATATAATCACCAAGTCATTTTAGAAGGAAACTCAAAAGGAGGTTCACATGTGTCATTTCTTAGCTCTTTGAATAGGATTTATTCTTCTAGGAAAAATGACTATTAACAGATATAAAGAGACAAGCAACAAATCAACAATACTAAGTACACATTGGAGAAATTGAAGGAACAATTAATAACTACAAAAAAAGGGGGGGGGAAACATGGTATATTGTCCCATGTCTTTAATACCACCACACAAGAAGGTGAATCTCATTGAGTTAGAGGACGGTCTGCTCTATGAAATAAATTCCAAGAAGGTACATATTTGGACCATGCCCTACCCCTTCAAAAGACCTAAATCAACAAACAAAAGAGAGGATCTCATTGAAGTTCCTACAAAGAGACATGCATTCATTATGGTTCTGAATTCATTTTCCGAAAATTGGAATGTCATAGTTTGAATTGTAAGATTAATAAAATTTTACTAAAAGGGAATGCATGTTTAAATTCATTAGAGATGGATAGATGAAAACATAAGCATTGTAAAGGGAGATCATGAAAAAAAGAAAAAATAGGGTAGGATAGTTGGTGCAGCAGTGAACAGCACTTTCTGGTCTTGTAGAGATGTGTTCAATTTCCAATACTTATATGAGGTCTCACAACTATCAATAACACCAAGTTCAGGTTTTCTGGGATGATGTTCTGACTACTGGGTTCACCAGGCACACATGTGGTACATATCCATATAGACGGGCAAAATATTCATATTTGTTCAAAAATTTCAAAACATATACAAAAGGTAGTAAGAATGTCACACCCCTGCATTCCAATGACTCAAGAACCTAAAACAGTATTAGTGTCATGAATATAAGCCAGCCAAGGAGATAGCCTCTGCCATAGTTTTTAATTCAAGACATGTGAAGTTCAGCACAACAGAGTATGTTTTACATGTACAAAAACCTACATTCCAGGTTTACCAGCCAATAATATAAAACTTAGAAACCTGGGCATGTTAGCCCACACCTGAAATGTCAGTGCCTAAAAGGCAGAGTGAGGCAGATCTCTGATTTTGAAACCAGCCTGGTCTCAAAAACTATTTTAAGAACACCCAGTGCTATACAGAGAAACCTTGTCTTCTAAAACAAAACAACAAAATAAATAGATAAAAATGGGCAACAAAAATGGCTTACAGATGAAAAGCATTTTCTTCTAGCCTATGTTATTTAAGGATAGAGTCAACTTGGTAGTGAATACATGACAGCATGAGGAGCTGGTTGATCAATTTCAACCACAAGAAAGAAGACACAAAGAACAGAAAATGGGGTGAGGCTATAGACCCTCAAATCACATCCCAAACGAGGAGGAACTTCCTTTAGAAAAGCACCTCCTTGCCGGGCGGTGGTGGTGCACGCCTTTTTTTTTTTTCTTTTTTCCGATTTTTCAAGACAGGATTTCTCTGTGTAGCTTTGCACCTTTCCTGGGACTCACTTGGTAGTCCAGGCTGGCCTCGAACTCACAGAGATCCACCAGCCTCTGCCTCCCGAGTGCTAGGATTAAAGGCGTGCGCCACCACCGCCCGGCTGTAATCACTTTCTGACACAATTTTTTCCACACTTCTAAGGTGTTTTAGTTGCTGCTTAATTGCTTGAAGATGAGAAAGGCTGCTTTAATCATCTCTTCATTGGCTAGATAATCAGCCAGGTTACTAAGAATATATCATTTTATACAAGCCGAATAGTCTGCTTTAGACTTTGTGGGCTAGTGAGACACTGGGAAGTCATAGCAAGGCCTAAACTGCAGGTTGAGATGAAGGAAGAGGCAACCATCACTGGACAGATAGGTCCAAAGTGACTTAGGAAAGGAGGAAATCTTTCCCAGGACATGAGACAGTCTTTCCCAACACGGCTCTCTGCTTAGATTTATTTTGCATCCTGCCATCCCAATCTGGGCTCATATAACTTCTCTGTATGTACAGGTGCACATGCTCCTTTGCTGATCAATATGTGGATTAGAAAATTAAAAAACAACACCCCTCCCCCCCGGAAAAAAAAAAGCAGGTATTAGGACAATAGGGAAAAACACAAAGACAAATTATACTTCCTTTTAAATGTTCCTTTAAGAACTAGGTACATGAGCTGGGCAGTGGTGGTGCACGCCTTTAATCCCAGCACTCGGGAGGCAGAGGCAGGCAGATCTCTGAGTTCAAGGCCAGACTGGGCTACCAAGTGAGTTCCAGGACAGGCGCAAAGCTACACAGAGAAACCCTGTCTCGGAAAAAAAAAAAAAGAACTAGGTACAGAGCTAGGCTAGTGTGCATGTCTAATCTTAGCACTCAGGAGTCAGGACAGCCAGGGCCACACAGACTTTCAAAAACACCAAAAAGCAAAACAACAGAAAAACCAACTAGGTAGTAAGCAGCAAAGAGTTTTCAGCTCATACACTAATTTACAAATACAAATGAGTCACTGCTGCTGTATTGTGTGAGGTTCTTTGGTGGAGGTAAGAGCTGGGACTGCTGTGGGCACTGCATGAGGAGGAATATCTGCTGTGGGGATCCATAGAGACCAGATGGAAGAATAGGGATGTTTTCTATTACATTTAAAGTTCATAAAACAATCAAAATGCACAGGTGCATTTGCATTCCTTTGACCCACCCCCCCCCCCCCCCAAAAAAAAAAAACATACTGTCCTTTTCAAAATAATCCTAAGAGATCTTAAAGCCAGATAGTCTCAACATCGTAATGTACACTTGTAATAAAAATCCCATCACTTGGGAAATAGATGGCAGGATTTGAGTGAGACTTTGAAAAAACAATATCTTAAAAGTTGTGCTAAAATATTAGCTAATTTATTACTTACTAAATTTTCAGAAAACTTTGATCCTCAATTATATTATATTTTGAAACTTATTCTTAAAGTTCTCAACACTTCTCTAATGAATTAGAGCCTTCCTAAAATGTTTTTGCTTGTGCAACTTGAAGGTACAGTGCACTGGAGAAGATTTATCCATTTTGTACCCTCACCAAATCTTTCTGGATAACAACATCTTGCAGGTTTATGGAATTTACTGCTAAGCTATGTATTGATGCAATGAAATCTAACATATGCTGTTATTTAGTTTGGGTATTTTATTACTTCAGTCACTTCTGACCATATTTCCTTTTATATGACTGCTCACTCTTTAAACACACCAGATGATTGTACATGGAACACTTAATAAAATTCATATGTGTTAAAATATAAGTGTTTTCACTTATTTGTCCTAATTTGTTTAAATTTTGGTTATATGTGTATTGGTGGAAAACACAGCATGAGACAGTGAGACAGTTTAGTAGGTAAAGGTTCTTGCCACCAAGTTTGACAATCTGAGTTCAGTCTCCAGAACCCATATGGTAGAAGGAAAGAACTGACTACTGTTCATGCTCATACATTCATACCTACATACAAACACATAAGTGTAAAAATATAGAAATTCTGATCTTAAAAAAATCCCGTATCTGTAAGGACATTTCCAGAGAAGTTGAACTGAGACCAGCTCTGAAATTGGGTGGTACCATCTATGGCCTAAGATCCAAGGATAAATAAAAAGGAAAAAAGGAGAAAGCAGCTAGGTGTTAGCATTCATCTACCCTTGCTTCTTGACTGTGGGAGTAATATGACCAACTTTGTTAAATTCCTGCCATATTGGGTTGATTATATGCCCTCAGACCAATGATTCTCTGTTGGGAGCCCTGCGGTCTAGTTTTGGACCAGTATATGAGTGCTTGTCCAACAGGTCCAGATGAGGTAAAAGCCCACAGGGACAGTCTTACTCGGCAAGGACCAGTGGACTTCAGGATACTACAGGATACCTGCTGGGACCACGCAGCCTGCATTCTCTCTTCTCTCTTCTCTCTTATGATGATTCTCTTGGTGGATTTAGTGTCATTTTGTCAATCTTGCACGGAACAGATGTGATCATTCCTGGAAACCCAATTTTTCTCCAATATTTTCCCCTAAAATTCTTTGGGAGATGATGCTTCTCAGGTTTCTTGTCTGGGGAAGCCAGCTGTCTGAAAGAGCCTGGGAGCTGTTCTGATTCAGAGCTGACAGGATCGGAGGCAGATCACCCCTATTTCTGTAAATATGTTTTGAATGATATTGTTGTTCTTGAAAATGTGTGCCTATGTCAATTACCTTTTAGTTTTGTAAAGACAGGATGTACACAACTCGATATTTGGCCAAGCCAGCAAAATGATAACTTGTTTTGGGTTTAAAGATGTTTTGATGTTAAAGTTGGCCGCCGGCGGTGGGGGTGCACGCCTTTTCTTTTCTTTTTTTTTTTCAGAGCTGAGGACCAAACCCAGGGCCTTGCACTTGCTAGGCAAGCGCTCTACCACTAAGCTAAATCCCTAACCCTAAAATCCCTTTCTTAAAATGAACTCAACAATCCCAGTTTAACAACAGCAGAGGTCCCTATAAACAACTGGTTTGTTACAATACAGCAGTGTCTCTGACTCTTTCATCTTTGCACAGAACTGCTATTTTTGTCTGACCATTCTCAAGTCTCACTAAATAGAAGGGCACACTTGAGCCAGAAATGGGTGTGCAAGCCTGTAATAGCAGCAACACACTGGAGACAGAGGCAATAAGACCACTGTCAATTTGAGGAAAGCCTTGCTATATATTCTCTCTCCCCTGTAGTATATAATTTCTCTCTCTCTCTCTCTCTCTCTCTCTCTCTCTC